ATGCTCAAAATGGAGGACGTTTTAATGGTCAAAATGGTGACTTTTAATATTATAATGGGGTTTTCTTGGCATGTTTCTTCAAAGGGGGGGTTGCCATTACCATCCTCTGAGGCTGAGAGTGTGTGACATGCCCAGGGTCACTTACTTGGCTGCAAATTGTACATACCCCAGAATGCAACACCTAGTATATTGGCAGTCCTTCCCCCCAACACTTTCTCATTTCCCCCCAACCATCTCATAGCTGGGAGATGGAAATAATTTTTAAAGAAGCATATAATAATAACAATAACAATAATAATAATGTTTTATTCATAGTTTTATTTATTTAAATCTATGGTCCAAAACAAACTGTAGAAATAATGCTAGGGAACATGGGAGCTGTAGTTTGTTGTGTTTATAAGTGACAGTTTTCCTCCTAAGTACCTGCATGTCATAAGCATTTAAATTAAAATTAGCATATTGAAACCAAATCTCATTTTTTAAAATTTTTATTTGGTGTGCATTGAAAGAGGGGTAGTCTTATACAGCGAGTATATCCCAAACTCTATCTTTTAACTGGAAATGTTGGAGGTCGTCTTAAACGCCCAGTTGTCTTATATGCCGGAAAATACAGTAGATCAGAAGCTAATTCTAATAATAAGAAATTTAGGATTCTAAAATTGTTAACCTATAAGCAGAGATAAGAAATTACGACCCGTCAATTGTTTGCCTACAATTTGCATCATCCCTTGCCTCTGACTATGCTTTCTAGGGCTGATGGGAGCTGCAGTCCAACAATGGGAGGTTGCAGACTGCCAGAAATAGTGCAAATTGAGTCCACTTTTAGGGTTAGCGTTAGTGCTAGGGAATCATGGGGATTTTTTTTTTCTGAGACATTGAGCCTTCTCTGTCAGAGAGCTCTGGTGCCACAATAAAATACAGTTCCCATGATTCCCTAACCCTAACCCTAACCCTAATCCTAAAAGTGGACTCAATTTGAACTATTTCTGGCAGTCTGCAACCCCCCAATATCTCTAAGGCTGTAATTATCTAGCCCTGCAATAAAGGCCACCAAATACATATCGCTATCTTCAGGTAATCTTAGTATAATGAAAAGTGTGCTAGCCCACGAAGGACAAATGTGGGGTAGATATAATACGAAGGAGACCTGGTGGTTTGTTCCACATGTGAGTTGAGATTGTTTATAACCTCACACCTGGCCCCCAAATCTTGCAACAGGACTGAAATCCCAGTCTTTGTGAAATCTAGTAAAAATCTCTTTCCTTGGTCTTTAACAGCTCCATTACTTCAGCTATTGTGACCTGACATTCCTCATCAGACCCTTCTAAAGGTAATCAAACATAGATAGGTGCTGCTTCCCTGGCTTTGTTCTCCTTTTAGAGAAGTGGAATGAGTGCAATAGTATATTTGGCCTCACATTACCTGCAATGATTTGTTGTTGCTATATCCCTTCACATCATCTTCAGTTTATGGTGACCTGCGTCATAGGGTTTTCTTGGCAAGATTTAGCCTGGAGAGGTTTGTCACTGCCTTTCTCTAAGGCTGAGAGTGTGACTTGACCAAGGTCATCCAATGGGTTTCAATGGCTGAGTGAGAATTTGAATCCTGGCTGGTCTCTTGGAGCTCTAGTCCAACATGAACACTACACAATGCTGGCTCTCTACCATGAGAATTAAATTAATGTAATTAGTTAAAAAACATAAAGGGAGAAGGACACTGAAAAACACTGTGGAGTTTTATCTTTCAATCAGTGCTGAACTAAAAATGATTTGACTGGAGCTGTTGTAGCTTAATGCTGAATACCTGAGTCTGCAGCTGTCATCTTATTTCAGAAATTATAATCATCTTGTCTTTTCTGCAATTTGGGACTCAAGGCAGCTTACAACAGTTAAAATAGACATAGTTAAAAATCACAGTATACAAAGCTGAAAAGCAATTAAACTATCACAAAATTAAAAATGAGTTAGAAACATTGTTAAAAAATTAATTTTCAAAGGTCTGCTGGAATTATACTAATAAAAAGGACCTCACCTGCCTGCAGAAAGACAGCAAGGAGGGTGCCAGTCTAGCCTTTCTTGGAAGAGACCTCCAGAGTCTGGGTGCAGTCACAGAGAGGGCCCTTTCCTATGTTCCCATCAGATGTGGTCAGACAGAGAGAAAGTCCTCCCCTGAAGATCACAAAACACAAGCAGGCTGGGATGGGAGAATATGGTCTTTCAAATAACTTGATCTGAGCATTACAGAGGGTTGTAGGTCATAACCAGCATGCTGAAAGAAACACAGTAGGTGGCCACAGGCAAGCCACCGTTTTCCACGCATTAGCATAAATCCCAACAACATAGGGAACATATACTGTATCTTAAAAGGTAAACATAAAAATTATACTTTATTGGATATTTGAAACATGCAACATAAATGCTATTATTGTTGCTAGGTGCTTATTCAATCCTACTTTATAAAGACTGCAGCTCTACAAATCATGTTATGCATACAAGTGCTGTAAGCAGGCTAGACTCTATTCCCATTTC